TTTTTCTTTCTCTTAATTAATTGGCCTCTCAGAGTTGGTAAGACAACTCCCACCTGTTTATGCTCTCTGTATGTGTGTATATATATATATCCTCAATATATGTTCCATTCTATATGCATCCGAAGAAGTGGGCTGTAGTCCACGAAAGCTTATGCTCTAATAAATTTGTTAGTCTCTAAGGTGCCACAAGTACTCCTGTTGTTCTTTTTATCCCAGGAGAGTGCCCTTACCACCGGACTATTGGGTATTATGTGGTGGCTCTCGCTTGCTCTCTCTCTCATTTTTTCCATGAAAAATCTGAGAAGCTCCGGTTTTTGTTCCAATACAGAATGGAGTCACATTTTGAAGCCACAAAATTTGTCACAAAATGGAATTCTTGTTTTCCAGCCAGCCCCACTTAACATTTCTGCCAACATCTTTCCATATATACTTTGTGCTCTCTGGTGTGCTGGGATTTAAATAATAATAATAAAAGCTGATCTTTGAGTCTGATCCACTGGTGAATCGGCTGAACAGAAAGTTTAAGATAAGATGTTTTTAATCTATTGGGGTTTTTGCTCATTTAATCATGTTCCCAGCATGTTATGAGTGTTTAGGACTCAGGCAGCTTTATTCAATTTTAAGATCTCAGCTCTAACCAGCAATGAAGAAGCTGTTTGAATGTCAAGCAGATTTTATTTCTATTAACCTGGACTAGACACTTGAATATGAGCCTTCAATTCAGGCATCAACACAAGGTTTCCTAAATGATCCCCTTCACCCCCCCATTAATATCCATTTCTGTCAAGTCATGCTGGATTCTGTCAAAAGATCCTGCAGGCCATGCTAAAAAAATAGAGCCTAACCGTGACCTTCCCTAACAACCAATGTTAAACATGATTTTGGCTGTGGGAGGAGGCAGGCAGAGGAGCTGGTGTTCACCACACTCCAGTGCTGCTTTTGGCAGGTTCAAAGCGCATGGGGATTTTATTAAACTTGCTAACACTTCAAACAGATGTTTCACAGCCTGCGGCATTAGTGCTCGTATGTTCACTGCAGAGGCATTTTACCAGGGGCATTCTGTGATATTCTATTGCTGTTATTGATTCCTTGTTTGCAAATATGGCTCTTACCAGGGATACGGAATCAGGTTCCTCTGTGAATTCTTTCAAACTCAAACTCTTCTTACTTGAAACCTGGAAGAGAGGGAGGAGCAGACATTACCGACCCATCCCCAGGGGATCTCCACTGGAAGGCACTGAATGGAGCATCCGGACTAGGACACTCCACTGCCCCTCTCTCCCCCAACAGAAAGTTATAGTAACTCTGGGTTCCAAAGCTGCTGGTGAGCCTGGTAAGAACATTGCCTGTATGCAACCTTGCCACATGCAAACCCTTAGGGGTTGCGGCTCCTGTACACGTGACTTCTGGAAAAGGGTTTCTGACAATGGGTTATTCCAATGGGGACAGGGTGCTCAGGCTAGACTGGGCTGGAGAAGAGGTGAATGAGGAGTCAGCAGCATGTGAGTGTTTCTTCTTGTTTCCTAGACTGAACAAAACCAACATAACGTAAAGACACTTTGGTGACAGTCTGGGCTTGGGGAGGATGCTAGGAGCGCTGAACTTTGAGTTCCAGCTCTCCAGACCCATGGCCAGACTTTGGGTAAGTCATTTCCCCTCTCTGTGCCTCAGTTTCTCCTCCCTGTAAAACAGGTAACACTGACTGGCGGGGGATGGGGTGGGGGGGGAGAAGAGCAAGAACTCCTGAGGCAGAGTTATTGGGTTCCACCTAATTTGGTTGTCAGGATGAATCAGCAGAAGAACTCTGCAAGTCCATGAAAGATCCAAGCTCCTGACAGCCTGTTACATGCCAGAGGTACTTTTCTGGATTAAGGATACCTCTGAATTATACCACAAACACAGATAGCTCAAAATAAAGACATCAGAAATAAGGTGGTTCTTTGGAGGCTTTTTAAACTCAGCACCAGGTTAAGGACTGATGGATTTCTTCCCCTCAGACTTTTTTTAAAATTTCCCCTAAGATTTGTACCATGGTTTTTATTCCAAAATTTAAAACCCCTGTAAAGAGAGTGTAAAAAACACAAATACCGGCAGAGCCAGTGTTCTTACATCGAGGTTATAAATAATGCACATGCACACCATTAGAGCAAAGAAATTCCTTGGATTCAGCCTAGTTTATCAGTGACCTAGAAAACAGCAGAAATTCAGACTCTCTTGTGATGCGACATGTGAATTATGTATCACGGGCCCGATTCTGCTCCCGGTCAAGACAATGGAAACAGTATCAATGCCAATATGATGACATTATCCGCCAAGTGGATTTTCCATATTGTGAGCTGCCACTTGACAAAGACCACCTTCGCCTTCAGCGTAAACTGAATTAGGGACAGTGAAGGCAATGTACATGTAAGAGGATGGCTTGGACCGGTCAAGCAAATGGAGCATCCATAATTCTCATCCAGGTGGGATTTGAACCTCTCCCCCCCACTCCCAAGAAATATATATAAAAAAAAATTTAAACCCAACCCCAGGAGTATGTTTCAAAGTCAAGAAAGTCAAACGAGTGCTTTATAAAATACAGCGCATGACGTGAGAGAGACAAGGTGGGTGTATTGGACCAACTGCTGTTGGTGAGAAAGACAAGCTTTCGAGCTCTTCCTCAGGTCTACTCCAAAGGCTGCATCTCTCAGCAAGATAGCAATAAAAGAGATCACCTTGTCTCTCTAATATGCTGGGACCAACACGGCTACACCACCACTGTATATAACAATGTATGTCATGGGCAGTTTAACAGCACACGTTAGGATATGTAATTTAACTCCAGTAGCAACACTGCACTACTGTGTGCATGCATGCATGCAGGCGCGTGCACGTGCACACACACACACACACACACACACACGTACGTAGGAGGCAAATTACATGGACATGTATTTCCTTATATTAAGCATACAGAACTTTCCATCTTCAAAGCACTTTAATAAATTCTCACTCCCGCCCTCCGGTGCATGATCCCCATTTTACAGGTGGTGAACCGGGCACAGAGAAGTGCAGTCACTTGCCCAAGCTCATGTCAGTGTTAGATGCAAGAAGGATGGTCTTGTTGCTGAAGTGCAGGACTGACTGCCCAATGCTTCTATTCCCAGGTGCCACAGATTCCCGTATGACCCTTGGGCAAATCCCTTAAGCTCGCCACACCTCAGCTTCCTCCTCCATAGGATATTGCTGACCGACCTCACAGAAGTGCCGAGGCTGAGTTAAGTCACGTTTCCTGTATTCGTTTATTTTAGGGTGACAGATGGAAAAGCCTTATTGGAACATCCTGCCCACGGCTATGATCTGGCTCCCAGCCCTGTGCTCAGATGTCATCCGGCTCTCCGGCACAGTCACTTCAGTGACTGCCCAAGAATGAAACATTCGGAGAGCTCTGTACTGCAGCAGAACGCACAGCACTCAGACAGAGGTTTAAGCATCAGCCATCTGTGTAGATACTGGCTTAATAGGAGAGGGGATTTGTCTTGCGTAAGGGTAAGAACAGCTCAGCTGTTCTGCTGCCGAACTGGGAATGAGAATCTAAACAGCAGGTTTATCCCCAATGGCCTGGACTCATTTATTATGAATGGAAACATTGAGGCATTAGCATTCCCTGCATGGGGCCTATCTAAATTAAGCTAACTGGGGTGGTGGGGGGGGTTGATCTAACGGAAGATTCCACCTAGAGGAAGCTAACCTCACCAGCCAGGAGTATGTTTTCTCACCCCAGGCCGTATCTAGGCATATTCTGAGTCATGCGAGCATGCTGGAGAAGGTTGGGGAGGTTCGAGGAGCTGATTGCTAGCTAGGCATAGACCCAGCCCGATACGATCACTTGCTCCAAGGCGCAGTTGCAGAAAAGCTCTATTCAGGGAAGGCAGTGCCTGCCTGGCACTGGGGCCTGTGCCGTGGGACTGATATCCTGCAAGCCTTTCCAGGCGGAGACAATCTCATGGATTTATGATGGTCCTGATTTCTGAATGCCTGTCATTGGCAGTACTGTCATTTGCCAGCAGAGGGCAATAGTTCAGCCTCCCAGATGTCCCTCCCTTAGGACCTGTCCCTGGGGAGCCTCTCAGCCGAGAATGCTGGCACATGATGCTCCCCAATGGGGTCTGTGGTATCCCCTCTGCTCCCACTCTCCAGCATTTGAGACGGCTCCCCCAGCACTATCAACGCATCTAAGCCCTATGGTTCTGTTGGGGGCGTTCATTGGTTCCTATCAGACAGGCATAGACCCAGTGCTCCTCTCTCATCACTAATCCAGGCACCATTAGTAACAGGCATTTGAAGCTGGATGAACAAAGTCACAGGGGAAGATGCTCTTGCTCCCATGCCCATTCGAGCTGCTCCTCCACCCCCGGCAGTGGATGTCCAGCTCACCCTGCCTGCATACATGGGGCAGGGGAGTAGCAGACCAGTGAACAAACAAAGCCATGCAACTTTGATCCGTCTGGCAAACCCTTCAGAGTCTGCTCTGCAGCAGCATCCAGGACAACTATTCCCAGGGGGCACACAGGGAAAACACAGAGCCTTCCACCATCCTGGACAGGGGCCACGTCACACAACACATGTGAGCAACGGATACAGTGCTGCCACCGTCCAAACACAGTGGTTTCAGGGCACGCACTTCAGTCTCGAGCTCCCTCCAACCCGTTGGTGGGAGCTACTGGATTTGTGATGAACTAGAAGGGTACCTGTAGGTGCGTGCAGACTCTCCTCAGCACATCGTACACACTGTCTCGAGAGATCAAGGACACAAAGATGTACTGAAAACAAACAGAGAGAGAAGCAGCAGTGAGATGCTATCCCTGTACAGCACATGACATCGGCCCGGAGGCACAGGCTCCTCTCTCTGCTGGGATGCTCAGAGTTAGAACCAACAGCACATTGGAGTTCTGGCTCCTGTTTCACAGTGTGAGCATTTAAACGCTCACCACCATGCTAAGCGCTCTGTTGAGATGCACAGGAGCAGGTTACAAAGAGCTGATGCTGCAGCCAGCCGTGTGGCAGACTCAGCACAGCGTCATGCTGATAGACGTGGGAACAGCTCGTTTTGCTAACAGAAGGGCCATCCGCAATGGTATTATGGTTCTGTGCAGGAACACCAGGACTCGGCGTCATCCTACTCCCAGAGGAGAGGCAAAAACTCTCATCCCACTCACACTAGTGGCAGTTTTGTCACTGACTTCAGTGGGAGCAATTAGGCCAACACTGGGTACCTTGAAAAACCTACCTTTCAGGTCACTAACAAAACAAATTTAAGATTTAAGACTAATAGGACTTTGCTTCTATGTACTGTAGAGCGGCTTTCAGCAAGAACTCATCTCGAATGGGTTCTAGAGAGCATGTTTTCAGCCAGCACTAAAATGCAGCCACCTCTGGGGTGGAATATTGGATTCCACCCCAGCACCAGTACTCACTAATCATGGAATCTGGACTCAAAAGGACCTCGAGAGGTCTTCTAGTCCAGTCCCCTGCACTCATAGCAGGACTAAGTATTATCTAGACCGTCCATAACAGGTGTTTGTCTAACCTGCTCTTAAAAATCTGCAATGATGGAGATTCCACAACTTCCCTAGGCAATTTATTCCAGTGTTTAACCACTCTGACAGTTAGGGAGTTTTTCCTTGATGTGATTTAAGCCCATTGCTTCTTGTCCTAACCTCAGAGGTTATGAAGAACAATTTTTCTCCCTCCTCTTGTAACAACCTTTTATGTTGAAAACTGTTATTGTGTCCCCCCTTCTCTTTTCCAGAAGAAACAAACCCAATTTTTTTGATCTTCCCTCATAGGTCATGTTTTCTAGACCTTTAATCATTTTTGATGCTCTTCTCTGGACTCTCTCCAATTTGCCCATATCTTTCCTGAAATGTGGCGTCCAGAACTGGACACAATACTCCAGTTGAGGCCTAATCAGTGCAGAGTAGAACGGAAGAATTACTTCTTGTGTCTTGTTTACAACACTCCTGCTAACACTTCCAGAATTATGTTTGCTTTTTTTGCACCAATGTTACACTGTTGACTTATATTTAGCTTGTGATCCACTATGAGCCCCAGATCCCTTTCCAGAATATTCCTTCCTAGGCAAGTATCAGAGGGGTAGCCGTGTTAGTCTGAATCTGTAAAAAGCAACAGAGGGTCCTGTGGCACCTTTGAGACTAACAGAAGTATTGGGAGCATAAGCTTTCGTGGGTAAGAACCTCACTTCTTCAGATGCAAGTAATGGAAATCTCCAGAGGCAGGTATATATCAGTGATGGTTTTGACACCATCAGATCAGGATTAAACAAAGACTGTGAATGGCTATCCAACGACAGAAACAGTTTCTCCTCCCTTGGTGTTCACACCTCAACTGCTAGCAGAGCACCTCACCCTCCCTGATTGAACTAACCTCGTTATCTCCACACTGATATATACCTGCCTCTGGAGATTTCCATTACTTGCATCTGAAGAAGTGAGGTTCTTACCCACGAAAGCTTATGCTCCCAGTACTTCTGTTAGTCTCAAAGGTGCCACAGGACCCTCTGTTGCTCCTTCCTAGGCAGTCATTTCCCATTTGTAATGTGTGCAACTGATTGTTCCTTCCTAAGTGGAGTACTTTGCATTTGTCTTTATTGCACTGAATATAATGTAGGAAAGGAAATGAAGAATGACTATTTCACTTGCAACTGGGGGGGATGTTAGACAGGTCAGAGCTGGGACTACAGCCAGGATGCTGGGGCTGGTCTCTCTAACTCAAGGAGAAAAGTGAGATAATTAATTAGTCAGAACCATAAGTGCCGGCTTCTAATTTTCCCCAGGGGTGCTCAACGCCACTCAGCCCCAGACCCCAACCCCCTCCTGCCCCGCTTCTCCCTGTCCCTGCTCCACCCCCATCCACCTCTTTCCCAAGGCCCCTCCCCAGCCCCACCTCTTCCCACCCTCACCCCCTTCCTTATCCCGTTCTGTCCCTTTCACTGAGCACACCCATCCCCACTCCTCCCCCTCCCTCCCAGCGCCTCCTGCATACAGCTGAACAGCTGTTCTGTGGCGTGCAGGAGGCACTGGGAGGGAGGGGGAAGAGTTGATCAGCAGAGGCTGCAGGCAGGTGGAAGTGGGGAGTAAGGGGGGAGCTGGCTGCCGGTGGGTGCTATGCACCTGCAAAAAATTTTTCAGCCCTGGAACACCCACAGAGTTGGCACCAATGGTCAGAACAGTCAGGAGTCTTGGTGTTGAATTTTTCCCCAAGGCAGAAGCTCCAGCATCACAAGGCCCCAGTGTTGTGTGGGCCATTGGCAGTACTGAAGCCTCTATAGGAAGAGTTCCATCTACTCCACCATTTCCTACCATCAACAGCAGGACAGAACACTGGCCACCGCTTGTATTCTGCATGGTTACCCTCCAAGTGAGGAGCCCTGTTCCTGTGAGAGAGCAGCACATGGAAATTTACATGACCCTTTTAGAAAGCAGGGTTCTTGCAAAGTTTGCTTGACTGCATAGCAGAACAGAGCATGGAAGGGGAAAAGCATTCGGTGCGTGCACATAATCAGTGGGAAAATAAGTAAGTGACAATACCATTTTCCTCCAGAGGGCCCAACTTAAAGTCTTATTCCTCCCACTGTTAAAGATGTCACTACCAAGCTGGAATTTCCCAACAAGGGGCTGTTTTCCATACTGCTTAGCTTTGCTCTCACATTTTAGTGCCAGGAGGAGGGGTGTACAGAAGGCTGGCTGTCTCCAGAAGTTCCTTCAGCTTCATCTGTAGCAAAACTCAGAAGCTTAACACCCACTTCAAAGTGTCTGTTCTATTATAGATGTGTCCTCCTCTGCACTCCCCATCCCTTGCACAAACAGCGACTTGTTTGCTGATTAAGTGGGGATTTCATTTTTTGAAGCACACTAACATTCCAAACCAGGTTTTTGAGGCTCAGCCTCCCCTTCTCTTCCAGCTGCCATTCCCTACGGGATACCATGCCCAGGACAAGAGCATCTGCAGGCTTTACCTGATCTGTCATTCAGAAGAGAAGTGGCTGGATTTAAGCAGAAGCATTAGAGAATTCTGCTCACAAGTTCAGATGAACTGACTGAGTGCGGGAAGGTCACATGCCTCTTGATGTAATTGTTTCAGGATGCTGAGTTCACAAGACTAATACGCAGGGACTTGACAGTGTGAAAGGATTCACGACTAGAAGGGCTGGCACACGGAGTTTTTTTTTAAAGTTCAGATTCGACAGTTCAGCAGAAGAATCCCCATGGTTCAATGGCTCTCCATCATCCTTGCCAGTCCCCCCACCCCAAAACCAAATTTAAAAACATCAAAAGGTTTCCATTTTTCAATTCAAAACAATTGTTTGGTTTGAATTTTACTTCAAATTTGATTTTGAAAAGGTTAAACTTGAAAGCAAAATGTTCTGTTCAGCCCCCAGTATTGTTAACTGTTTGATTCAGCCACCGGACTGAAAGATCAATTATTTGCACAATTCTGCTCTCCAGTTGTGATGGTTTGGGCCTTTGGAAGACGTGGGGAAGAGCTGGCTAAAGCAGTGCTGGGGCCTAGGACATGGCGCTTGTCCCTTCAGTTCAGCAGTGTTCCAAAATCCCAGCATAGGGCTTTGGCTGCCAAGGGGCCAGCTGAGAGGAGACATTATACCAAGGGCCTCATCATCTGCGCTCTTTAATATTCCATGGGACCCTTTGCAGAAGGAGCATTAGCTAGATCTGAACAAAAAACTCACATAACACAAGACGCTAGGCATAAACCTGGATAAGACCCCCCGTTACTCTTGGGCTAATGGGGTTGGCTGGAAGCCAAGAGGAAGGTAGCCAGGTTCAGCTGGGTTTCACTTTGTGTTCGTCTCAATCACAAAACATAATTCACAGGCAGGAGAGGGGGTGCATGTGTGAACTGAAAGCAAAGATTCTCCCAGCTGTATTGTCTGCCCTCAGACCCTAGCCAAATTCCAATATGCGAATGACATTCTGCCTCCGCACGCATCCCCTGTGGTTCCAGTTGGGGATGCGAGTCTCCTCTTCGTTTCCTGGCCTAAATTGTGTAGTGTTACTGTAAGCAGTTATGGTGCCAAGTATCAGGGGGTAGCCATGTTAGTCTGGATCCACAAAAATAACGAGGAGTCCAGTGGCACTTTAAAGACTAACAGATTTATTTGGGCATAAGTTTTCATGGATAAAAAACCCCACTTCTTTTTACCCACAAAAGCTTATGCCCAAATAAATCTTAGTCTTTAAGGTGCCACCGGACTCATTGTTTTTGTAAGCAGTTAAACAGCTGCCATGCCCGACCCCAGAAGTGGCTGCACCAATTAAGGCCCATCCTTCATACCTTACTCACACCAACGCTCATTGCTTTCAATGGGTGTTTTCCCTTAAGTATGAAGTGCATGATTGGGTCCATGTTTGGTAAGCATTTGGGGATGGTCTGGAATGAGAGATGCTATGTACATTTAGGGTTATAATAATAGCTGAGTTGCCAGGTCGTCTCAGCAACACGACACAGAGCAGCTACCCATGCTCCGTCACATCACAATGGTAGCTGTGCAGGGGAGCACCCTAGGGGCCTTCTGTCGGATTAGACTCTCACATGAGACCACAGCACAGCAGCTGAGTGGAAATAAGACCCCCAATCAGTTACCTTTCTGCTGGCATTGGTGGTGATAGCCAGCCCATTGGGCAGCAGCCGGGCCGTTTTGTGCTTTTTTATCAATTGAACCGAGACCACTGGGATAACCACCTGAAATGTAAAACAAACACCAGGTAAACGCACACGTAGAATAAGTGGGGATCCAACAAAGCAAAACGAGAGCCACAGAAAAGCCCATGAGGGAGCTGGCAGTTCTGTGTTCCATGCAGGGACTGGAGACTATGCAG